AGTTGTTATCCAAGAATGCTCTTGGTACATGTGTGGTCATCTATGGTGCCTACTACTCTGCCTCCCTAGTTCCTCCTCTTCCTTTTTCTTACTCCTCCCACCTTAGCTCCTTCCAACTTGCTGAGAACATATGATGCCACAGTGGAGTACCCTAAAAAAAGAATGGAGAGAGAGGATGTGATAGAGGGGTTGTAGAGGGGAAAGCAAGAAAGGAAATAATATTTGAAATGCAAATAAATAAAACAACCCTTAAAAATTTGAATGGCAATCAAAATTCAAACCAATGACACATAATAAAGTCACTCCTAAAAGGCAAAGTCATAGACCCGTGTATCAAAATAGAGAGAAACAGAGATGAAGGAAGGGACAATGGTATGGCTCATATTAACTATATGCTTATCTGAAAGCTCTAGCCAAAAAAAGAAGAAGAAATAACATCCAGAAGATGTAAATGGCAGGATGAAAGCAAACTCAGGGCTGAAATCACCAAAATAGAAACAACAACAGCAAAGGAATATAAAGAATCAATGAAAGTAAATGTTGACTCTTTGCAAAAACAGCATAACTGAGAAACCCTTGACAAAATTTACTAAAAGATGAAGAGAGAAAATCCATGTTGATAAAACTAGAGTTGAGACTAGGATATGACAATAGAGAGTGAGGAAATTCAGAGAATTATAAAGGAATACTATAAATATATGTACCGCAACAAATTAGAAAAACAAAGAGAAAGTTATAAGTTCTTGATATATACCAACTATGAAACTTAAATCAAGCTTCAGACTCACAGTGTAAGAGAAGCAGTAATTTAAAGACTCCTAACAAAACAAAAGGAGCATCAGAAGGATTCAGCAACGAATTCTCCCAGTTTCAAAGAAAATTAAATCTAATAATCCCAAAACTATTCTCCAAAATAGAAAAAAAAAGGAACTGCCTAATTCATTTTATGAGGTCACAATTACCAATGCCTAAACAAGTTAAAGACTCACATATAAAAGAGAATTAAAAAGTAAATTGTCTTACAATCATAGATGTAACAATTCTCAGTAAAAATACTTGCTAACAAAATAATAGAATTCTCAAAAAGATTATCAAGTAGGCTTCATTCCAAAGATGAAGTGATGGTTTGACATACATAAATCAATGTGATCCACAATATAAACATACTAAAAGGTAAGAACAACTTGGCCATCCATTAAAAGAGGCATTTGTTTAAACACAGCATTCCTTCATGATAAAAGTCCTGGAGAGATTAGAAATAGAAGAAACATTACTCAACATAATAAGAGTTATTTTAGAGCACACCCATAACCCAAATAAACCAGATTGGAAAGACTTAAAGCATTTTTACTAAAATCAGGAACAAGAGAATGATATCCATGATTTCTATTTTTATTCAATATAGTATTTGAGAGTACGCTACAGTAATGAGACAATTAAAGGTGATCAAGGCAATACAAGTAGGAAAAGAATATCTCAAGATATACTTAACTCCAGATGATAATACTGTATCTATAAAACCCTTAAACTCCAACTAGCCAAAGAGATTTCAAAAGCTGATATCTTATTAAGGAAAGTATCAACATATCAAATGAACACACAAAAATCAACAGGATTTTTATATACAAATGAAAACTGTACTGAGGGAAATCAGAACAACAATATATTTCATGATATTAACAACAAAAAAATATCTTAGAGTAACTCTGAACAAGGAAGTGAAAGACTTAAAAGACAAAAATTAAGATATTGGAGAAATAAATTGAAGAAGAAATCAGGAAATGAAAAGATTTCCAATGATCACAGATCAGCAGGATTAATGGAGTAAAAACTGGTTTTCCTATCAAAAGCAATCTACAGATTCAGCACAATCCTCATTAAAATCACTATACAATGAAGAATTTTCAGCTTGATATCTGAGAAACACAAAACACCATGATAACTAAAAGAATCCTGAATGATACAAAATGCTCAGAAATATACCTAACATGAAACTAAAATTGTACTACAGAGTTATAGTAATAAAATTAAGATGGTATTGACACAAAACCAAACAGGCTTATTGGGACATTTTGTGAGTTTGTTATCAAAATCACTTGATGAATGAACATGCATCCATGTCAACAGCCTAAACACACACTTTAGGTATGGAGATGTGATATTCATGAATAGTATTCTCATTGGTGGAGTAGCAGGGGAGCCCAGAATAGTCTTCTGCTACTATAACAAGTTTCCATGATCTCATGGGAACCTGGAAGTTTCTTACATCTGTACCTAGAAAGTACTGTCTCTCTTTTGCATTATCTTCTTTTATATAAATAAATCTGTATTAAATTTGCATATGTGAGTCAGTGAATGATGAAGTTAGCTAATTATGAAGTTCAGAAGACTTCTCAAGGTCTCCTGAAAGAGGAAATACAGGTAGTTGTTAGTACCCAAGGTAGGTGCTGGACATTCTACTGAGGTTTATGGCAAGAGTTACATATTCTCTTAATTGCTGAGCTATCTATCATATCCTTTATTATATTTGTAAGAATGTCAAACACCAGCCAAATTTCCAGCAATGACTGGGAATGTGTAACTAACTCTCAATCATAATGAAGAATTACTGGAAGCCACAGGTTACTTAGAGAGGAAATGCCAGGTTTATTAATTAACTATGCCACCTGTGGGTTACTGCTTCTCCAGAGGTTGTCACTAAACCAATAAACATGTAACAGGACATGGTTCACTCAGTAATTAAAAAAAGGTGTACGAATATGTAGAAAAATAATTTTTCTGATCATGTATTATGGACATATGATAGTGCTGTTGGTATGTTGGTGTAGTTTTGATCAAAGACCTTGTATACATGTACAAAACTAAAACAATAAATCATGAGATCTAAAAATATTATTCACTTTTCTGCTATCACAGAAAATGCTTTGTGGAAGGTAGAAATTTATCAAGTATACTGTTGATTTAATTTTGCATTTTAAATTTGAGATACTAGAGAACAAAAATTGTGGAGAATTCTACCAAACAGCATGATTTTTCAGTGATATGTAACTCTCTCAACCACAAGTTCAACTATATCAGCCTCATTGCTCATCTATTTCCCTACATGGAAGTTAGGCCTGCTGGAATATTTTTGGTGCTTTTACTTTGTTTATTTTATTTTTTAATTTTTCAGTTTTTCTGTATAGCTGAGCCAGGAAGAGAGGGGCACAGCAAATATATACATTCAAATTATGTTGAGTCTGTATCTTAATGGAGATTGATCAAAGGCTAAATAAAATTTATTTTTTAGGAAAATCCTTTTGTGTCCCCAAGATGTACATAAAGGAAAATTGCAAATGTATAACCACTAGGATGACTAGAAAAGCATGAATGTAGTAAATCCTTTATATTTGATTCTATCAAGAAGAAGATGTCATCATTATTAGAGATGGTGTATAGACACAGGAAGAAATGCTGCTAACCATGCAGAAAATTTTCGATGGGGTGGTCTGGGAGGGGTAATCAGAAAGTGGAATATCATTTGAGATGTAAATGAATGGAATGAACAATAATTTTTTAAAAAAATAATTCCAAGTCTACCAGCAATTGGGAGCCACTGTATAAGTCACCACAGATCCTAATGTACACTGGAGCTCTTGGAATGAATTTTATTACCTGCTGAGAAAGGCATGAAGTGGTCACTTTTCTTAAAGTTTCCATTCCCATCTAGAAAGTGGCCAGGGTCAAATATCTCTGGATTGGGGAATTCCTTACTGTCATGCAGCACTGATGTCAGTGACATCATTACTTTTGTTCCCTGCAAACAATACACAACAGAAAACGCAAGGTACAAATATATCAGAGTGCTAAACATTTTTCACCTTTTTTCCATAGAAGAAGTACAAAAATACTAGCAAAATTTCAACAGACAAACAATGCAAGGAACAGGAAGTAGTCTGATTTTAGCTACAATAGTGTGAGTAAGGTGTCTTCAGTGACACTTGAAGTCAGCATTGGGCATTTATTGCTAATGCTGCTCATTCTTTTCACTTTTCTTTCAGTTTTATCCCATCACCTGCTGCTCTTGTTTGTCAACTGATTTTCATTGGTCACATGGGTCATGATTTTAAATGGAGACTTGCTTTCTATGTGAAACAAATAGGAAGTCATTCATGCTCGTAAATAAGCAAGGTCAGGATGGACAGTTTTTACTTGTTTTCCATCATGAACATAATTCAGGTTTTAGATGCCATGGATGGAAGAGTTTGCTCTCACACACAGAGGTGATGTATATGAAGACACATGTAAATATACAAACAGAAGGGAGACTATGTAAGGAAAGAAAGTATCATAGGATGAAGTACAACTTCTCTTCCCATTTTTGCTTGTATTTATTCTTCTTTCATACAATACATCCTAACAGGGGCCTCCCCTCCTTCAAGTTCTCCGATTTTACTCATTAAGTTCATATTTATGTCAGATTCAATGCCCTGACCTTTGCCTTCACTAAATAAATAAACAAATAAATAATTAAATAACCATCCAAAAAACAAAAAATCCCCCCCAAGATATTACCTGAGCATGTCAAAGCAAGGCTAATGAGACTAAGCATAAGGCCTCATATTAAAGCATGACAAGGCTACTTGATAAGAATAAATGTTCTTCTTACTCAGAAGAGCAGGGAAAAAACAGACACATCCCACTCCCATTGTTAGAGGTCACACTAGAACACCAATCCAAACAACCATAATGAATTTTCAGAGTACCTAGTCCAGACCCATGCAGGCTCTAAGATTGTATCTACTATCTCTGTAAATTTCTATGAGCCCCACTTAGTTGATTCTGTGTGACATGTTCTCTTGGTGTCTTTATCCCCTCTGTCTCCAACAATCTTACTTGACATTTTCTGGTGGTGTTTCCTAAGCTCTACGTAATATTTGGCTGTGGGTTTCTGCATCTGCTCCTATTCACTGCCTTAGTAATCTCCTTTGATGACTAGAGTAGGAACTAATGTAGCAGAATACATTAGAAATAATTTAATTGATTTTTTTGCCAATTGTATTCATCTCCATTATGAGTCCCTGATATGTTCAATATTCAATTTCTGGACACCTACATCTAGATTGTGCCCAGCCTTTGACCCCTGATTTGTCATTGGACTCAATTTACAACAATCACACATGTTCTGACCTGCCATAACTTCAGAACATTTTCCAGGAAGGACAAATTATAGGTTGAAAATTTTATGTCTGAGTAGGTTTCCTAGTCCCAGAAGTGGAATCCTTGTCTGGTGAAGTAAATGTCTAGTTCAGGCTCATCACATTTCTTAGTACTAATAGTCTTCTCTAGGGTCCCCATTTTATATCCCATGGAGTTTCTATTGTACTAGATTTCCACAAACATTTCCAAACACTGACAAATTCAAGTCATCTCATCCTCTACACTTTAGTTTCATCACCCTTGTTATTCAACCTGTCATAGTCTGTGGATTGTCTCATGATTATCTTTTACTTAATAACTAATATCCACTGATAAGTTAGTACATACCATGTTTTTCTCTTTGGGTCTGGGTTACCTCACTGAGGATATTATTTTTCTAGTTCCAACCATTTGCCTGAATATTTCATGAAATCATTTTTGTGACAACTGATTAATACACCAATCTATCAGTGTATCACAATTTCTTTATCCAGTCCTTAGTTCAGGGGCATCTAGATTGTCCTGTTTCTGGCTATTTTGAATAAAGACAACATGAACATAATTGAGTAAATATCCTTGTGCTAGGATGGATAATTTTTTAGGTATATAACTTAAAGTAGAAAACCTGAGTCTTGAAATAGATTTATCTAATTTTTGATTGATCTATTTTTTCTGAGGAACTGCTGTATTCATTTCAAAAAATTATCTTTCTGTTTGCACTCCCAACAGCAATACAAGAGTGGTCCCATTGGTTCACCTCCTGGCCAGCATTAACTGCCACTTATGAAATTGATCATACCTATTGTGACAGGTGTAAGATGAAATCTCAAATTATTTTGATTTGCATTTTCCTGATGGATAAAAATGTTGAACATTTCAATTATTTTTTTATTTTTATTGGATATTTTCTTTATTTACATACCAAATGTTATCTCCTTTCCTGTTTCCCCATAGAAAAACCCGATTCCACTGCCAACCACCTGCTTCTGTGCCAGTATTCCCCCACCACCTGACCCACTCCTGCCTTTCCTCCCTGACATTCCCCTACACTTTGTCATCCAGCCTTCACAGATCAAGGACCACTCTTCCCATTAATGGCTGAAATGGCCATCCCCTGCTACATATGTGGCTGGAGCCATGAGTCACTCCATGTTCACACTCTTGTTGATTCTTAGTCCCTGGGAGCTCTGGGGTTGAGGGTCTGGTTGGTTGATATTTATGTTCTTCCTATGGGGTTGAAAACCCCTTCAGCTCCTTCAGTATTTTCTCTAATACCTCTTTTATGGACCCCTTGTTCAGTCTAATGGTTGTTTACGAGTATCTGCCTCTGTATTTCTAAGGCTCTGAAAGAGACTCTGAAGAGACAGCTACAACAGCGTACTGTCAGCATGCACTTCTTGGCTTCCAAAATAGTATCTGATTTTGATGACTGTTTACGGAATGCATCCCCAGGTGGGGCAGTATCTGGATGACCTTTCCTTCAGTCTCTGCTTCATACTATGTCTTTGTATTTCCTCCAGAATTTTGTTCCACCTTCTAAGAAAGATCAAAGCACCCACACTTTGGTCTTCCTTCTTCTTGAGAGTTTTCTGTGGACTCTGAATTGTATCTTGGATATTCCAAGCTTTTGGGCTACTATCTATTTATCAGTGTGTGCACAGCATGGCTGTTCTTTTGTAATTGGGTTTCCTCACTCAGGAAGATATTTTCTAGTTCCAACCATTTACCTAAGTATTTCATGAAGTATTTATTTTTATTAGCTGAGTAGTACTCCTTTGTGCAAACATACCACATTTTCTGTAACCATTCCTCTTTCGAACAACATCTGGGTTCTTTCCAGCTTCTGTCTATTATAAATAAGGTTGGTTTAAATATATTGCAGCATGTGCCCATGTTATATATTGGAGCTTCTTCTCAGTATATGCCCAGGAGTGGTACTTCTTGGTCCTCAGATAGTACTTTATTGTGGAAAGCAGCGGCTTGTGCTGACAGCATTCGTCATTACAAGATGGTGCTGGCATCCGGTGCTCCTCCAAGTAAACAAGTAAACCACACATGTGCTATGGTAAAAGCGCGCCAAATCACGGGCGTAATATGCGTTCCTGGGCAAGCAGCCAATCAGATATGAACACACCACTCCAGGGGTATATAAGCAGTGCCTTTTCGAGGCCCGGGGTCTTCCTCTTCACATCGCAATAAACGTTTGCTGCAGAAGGATCCTGGTGTCCACGTGCGTTCTTGCTGGCGAGACGATTGCACGGGTCACAGCTGGTGCTGAAACCCGGGAAACTCACCATCGCCAGCGCCGAGGAGACCCTCTGCTCACGGAGAGGATTCAGAACTGCAGGACAAAGGTAAGCTCTGAGAGGCATGTTTGGCCTTGATCTATCTCGTCTCCCTCCCCAGTTGGCAGGAACTCTAGAAGCTCTCACTATTGTGCTAGCAGCAGTCGTTCTCTTCCTTCTGGTTTTGCAGGATGAGAAATGCCACTCGACTGTAGCTGCGGGACTGTAGGGAGTGCTAGAGGGGTTGCAAGATGGCATGTCAGAAACAGAGCGGGATAAACGGTTGGGAGCTCACAAAGAAAAACGAAAAGGCATGCCTAAGAAAAAAGACCCTTCCAAGGATGCACAGTCCGCGTAAGTGTAAGTGAGAGATAAGGGAAAGGACACCCTGGGAGAGAGATGTAGAAAAGGAGAAAAGGCTCCGGAAAAGAAACCTCTTTATCCGGTAAAGGAGCTGGAGGCCTCGGGGCTTGGTGGCTCTGAGTCGGAGGAGCTAACTTCCTCTGAGGGGGAGGACTTAGACGAAGGGACAGCCCACTATGAGGAGGAAAGATACTATCCAGGTGAGGAGCCGCTGCCGCGAAATCAAAAGCAAAGGAAAACGGGAGATAAGAACCGCATGGCCTCTCATCCTGTCGCGCCTTCCCAACCTATTGTTCCCAGCGCACTTCTGCCTTATGAGGACAAGTGCTGCTCAGACTCCTTCCTTTCAAAGGAAGACAAAAGAAGGATGTTACAAGCCTTTCCGATATTTGAGGACGTGGGGGGAGGCCGTGTCCACGCACCTGTAGAGTATGCCCCTATCAAAGAACTTGCTGAATCGGTTAACAAATATGGAGTTGATGCTAATTTTACAGTTATGCAGCTTGAGAGATTTGTCAGTATGGCAATGACTCCAAGTGATTGACAGAATACAGTAAAAGCTGCTCTCCCTAATGTGGGACAGTATATGGAATGGAAAGCTTTATGGCATGATGCTTCTCAAGCACAGGCAAAGGCCAATGCTAATGCGGAAGGCAACCAGAGACAGTGGACTTTCGAATTATTAACAGGGCAAGGACAGTATGTTGCCGACCAGACAAACTATGATTGGGGAGCATATGGCCAGATCTCCGCTGCCGCTATTAAAGCATGGAAAGCCCTCTATAAGAAGGGGGAGGCTGGGGGAAATTTAACAAAAATATTGCAAGCCCCCCAGGAGTCATTCTCAGACTTTGTGGCTAGAATGACAGAAGCAGCAGGCAGAATTTTTGGAGACCCAGAGCGAGTCAAACCACTGATAGAACAACTGGTGTATGAAAATGCCTCACCAGAATGCAAGACAGTTATTACCCCTAGAAGAAGCAAAGGGCTGACAGATTGGATAAAGGTCTGCCGAGGACTTGGAGGCCCACTGACCAATGCTGGCCTTGCAGCAGCTATTTTGAAAAGCCAGAACCGCTCAAGTCCTGGCGGCCGTAAACTATGCTATAACTGTGGCAAACTGGGTCATTTGAAATGAGAATGTCGTACTCCCATGCAAAGGAGAACCCCTGGGCTATGCACTAAATGCAGGAAGGGCTATTATTGGGCCAATGAGTGTCGCTCCGTTAGGGACATTCAAAGAAAGATTATTCAGCATGATCCCTCCCCAGCAGGAAGAGATGAAGACACTCCAAAAAAATGGGTATCAGGGCCCCAGGTCCCAGGGCTCCAAAAAATATGGGACACAAGCCTGCAACCGGGGGACACCTCTAGCTGCAGAGCTACAAGAGGCTCCACAGAGTTGGACCTCCATTCCACCTCCCAATTCTTACTAATGCCACATGAGGGCGTGCAACCTGTCCCAGTTGATTTTAAAGGTCCCCTGCCTGAGGGAAGTGTCGGCCTTATTTTAGGTCGCTCCTCTCTTGCCTTGAAGGGGCTTGTGGTTCATCCTGGTGTGATAGACCAAGACTATCCCGGGGAACTTCAAGTTCTCTGTTCTTGTCCACAAGGCATATTTTCTATCTCCCCTGGATAAAGGATTGCTCAATTGGTTATTCTTCCAAGTTTGCATAATTGTTTCCCATCCACTGGGGTGCCTAGAGGTGCCAACGGGCTTGGTTCTTCAGGAACTGACTTTGCTCATTTGGTAGTGGATCTCAAAACTAGACCCACTTTACAATTAACAATAGAAGGGAAGAGTTTTACAGGGATTTTAGACACAAAAAGCTGATAAAAGTATTATTTCCTCAAACTGGTGGCCTAAGGTATGGACTGTTACACAATCATCCCACTCCTTACAAGGGTTGGGAAATGAGGCCAGCCCTGCAGTCAGTTCACGCTCCTTGACTTGGCAGACACCAGAGGGTCAGACAGGAAACTTTATACCTTATGTGCTTCCTCTCCCCATTAACCTCTGGGGAAGAGACATTTTGCAAGACTTCGGACTGAAATTAACTAATGAGTACTCTCAACAAGCTATTGATATTATGAAAAGGATGGGATATAAGGAAGGAAAAGGCCTTGGCAGAAAAGAACAAGGAAGGTTAAACCCAATTTCACAAGAAAGTAATACAGGAAGACAAGGTCTGGGTTTTCCCTAGTTGCCATTGAGGGCTCTATACCCATACCCTGGCTTACAGAGGAAGCCATGTGGGTTCCTCAGTGGCCCCTATCCTCTGAGAAATTAGAAGCTGCTACAAGGCTGATTGAGGAACAAGCACAGCTTGGTCATTTAGAGCCTTCTACTTCTCCTTGGAATACCCCTTTTTTTGTTATAAAAAAGAAATCAGGAAAATGGAGACTTCTCCATGATCTAAGGGCCATTAATGCTAAGATGCGGCTGTTTGGCTCAGTGCAATGAGGCCTACCTCTGCTCTCTGCTTTACCTAAGCAGTGGAGGATAATAATTATAGACATTAAGGATTGTTTTTTCTCCATTCCCCTACACCCGCAAGATAGGCAAAGATTTGCATTCACCTTACCTACTGTTAATCACCTTGAACCAGACAAGAGATATCATTGGAAAGTTTTGCCTCAAGGCATGGCCAATAGTCCTACTATGTGTCAACTGTATGTACAAAAGGCCCTTGAACCCGTTAGGAAACAATTTCCTTCCCTGCTTTTGATTCATTTTATGGATGATATTCTTATCTGCCATAAAGAATTGACCATTTTGCAGAACTCGTACCGTTTATTAATTGCTACATTAGGACAGCAGGGTCTGCATATTGCCACAGAGAAGGTTCAAATTTCAGAAATTGGTTCCTTTTTAGGGACAGTTATTTACCCTGAGAAAATAGTTCCTCAAAAATTAGAAATTCGCAGAGATCATTTACATACCTTAATGACGTTCAAAAGTTATTAGGTGATATAAATTGGTTAAGACCATTTTTGAAAATTCCCTCTGCTGAATTGAAACCTTTGTTTGACATCTTGGAAGGAGATTCTCACATTTCCTCGCCAAGGGCACTAACACCGGCTGCAAGCTGTGCCCTTCAAATGGTAGAGGATGCCTTACAAGAGGCCCAGCTAAAACGCATTGATGAGACTAAAACTTTTAATTTATGTGTCTTTAAAACCAGACATTTACCAACTGCTGTGTTATGGCAGGATGGGATCTTATTATGGATCCATCCCAATGCATCCCCTGCAAAGATTATTGAATGGTATCCAGATGCAGTTGCTTAGCTTGCCCTTCCTGGGTTAAAAGCAGCTATTACTCATTTTGGAAGGGAGCCTAAGGTTTTGATAGTACCTTACACTGCACATCAGGTTCAAATATTAACTGCTACCTCTGATGTTTGGGCAGTGTTGGTCACCTCCTTTAATGGTCAAATAGATAATCACTATCCTAAACATCCCATTCTACAATTTGCCTTAACTCAAGCTATTGTATTTCCGCATATCATATCTCAGAAGCCGCTCCCGGATGGAGTGGTTGTTTACACAGATGGGTCAAAAGCAGGTGTGGGTGCCTATGTAGTTGATAATAAAGTCACGGCCAAACAATACCATGAGACCTCACCTCAAGTTGTGGAATGCTTGGTAGTATTAGAGGTTCTTGAAACCTTTCCAGGCCCTTTAAATATTGTTTCAGATTCCTTTTATGTAGTAAATGCAGTTAAAGTCTTAGAAGTGTCTGGGCTAATTAGACCATCTAGTAGACTTGTGGAAGTTTTTCAAAAGATTCAATTTGCTTTAATTAATAGGAGATTCCCTGTTTTTATTACACATATTAGGGCTCACTTAGGTCTACCAAGTCCAATGTCTCATGGGAATGACCTAGCGGATCGAGCCACAAAGTTGGTTGCTAGTGCCCTATCCTCAAAATTGGATTTGGCCAAAGATTTTCATAAAAAATTTCATGTGACAGCAGAGACGTTACGTCGTTGGTTTGATATAACTAGAAAAGAAGCTAGAGATATAGTTACTCAATGTCAGAATTGCTGTCAGTTTTTACCAGTGCCTCATGTAGGAATTAATCCACGAGGAATTCGGCCACTACAGATTTGGCAAATGGATGTTACTCACATCCCATCCTTTGGCAAATTGCAATATTTACATGTTTCCATTGATACTTGTTCTGGAATTATATTTGCTTCTCCATTGGCCGGAGAAAAGGCGGCCCATGTTATCTAACATTGCCTTGAGGCATGGAGTGCCTGGGGGAAGCCTAAAATTCTCAAGACTGATAATGGACCAGCTTACACTTCTCAAAAGTTTGGACAATTTTGTCACCAAATGGAGGTGACCCATCTGATGGGTCTCCCTTATAACCCTCAAGTACAAGGCATTATAGAAAGGGCTCATTGCACTCTTAA